CTTTGAAGACCTGACCAGAGGTTGTGCATTCTAACCTCCGTAAGTCCCTATCACATTAGAGACTCTGTGACCCCACCCAGTCATCTCAGTCTTTCGGGTCATCCACGCAGCCTGTGGCCACTGAGTCCCTTAACTCTATGCAAAGGATTGTGCACTGGATTTCCAGAGCCTGGAGGCAGTGGGGGACATTAGAATTAGTGTGTCCAGGTTGAACTGTTGACCCAGTAGCATTATCAGAGAGATGGTGGCCATGCTGAAATGATATTTACCCACAGCTTTGTGTGTGTAATACACACAACTTACTATTCCAGTTTCTAAAGTAAGCCCAGTGTCTGAAAACCTCAGGGCTCATGTACAATAAATTAACATAATTAAAAACTAATTAGTAAAACATCACAATTAAAAGGACTTGCCTCAGCAACACCTCTCAGGTAAGAAGGGCCCCTAGTGCCAGCAGCCAGCACACAGGGCAGGTCCCAAAAAGAGAGAGACCTTGATGTCACCCTATGCTCCCCTAAGGCCTCCTTTCCCAAGGAGCTCCTTAAGAAACAGTCACACAGTACATAAGCATGTAGGCATCCCTGGATAGCCAACTCGGGTCTGGGCACGAGGCCCAGCAGAGGAGGGGGCCCCTGCCTCCTCTGCAGGAAGAAGGAGGGGCTGCTCCAGACCCTCAGCCCCCAGTGGCCTGTTAGTGATGCTCCCATAATATTGGCTGCCCAGTCATTGATCTAAGCACTTTACCTGCGCTTACTCATTTAATCTTCACGACAACTCTATGAGCTAGGTTCTATTTCACTGCCTACTTTACAAATGAGGAAACTGAGCCACAAAGAGATTAAATAACCCGCCTAAGGTCACATAGCTAATAAGCAGAAGAGGGGGGATCTAAAGCTACAAAAATGACTCCAGAGTCCAAATTCTGCCGGCTTTACCCAAACACAGCTGAAGCTGCCTGCTTCTGTTGGACTGAGTGCTGCCCTTTTCAGAAATGTAAATTCTCTAGGGAGGATAAGAAGGCAATTCCTGGCCCCTCAGTGCAATCAAGCTCATCAAATTTATCTACATCTTTCTGGAGCCCGTTTACACCCTCAATCCCACTCTCTCATCTTAATAATAATTTTTTATATCCAAACTGTGAGTCAATCTCACAGATGTGCTACTTACTGTCTCATCTTCAGTGAGATGTAAGGAAGGAAAGAAGGCTGGAAGAAAGGAAGTGCTGTCTCCATTTTACAGGGGGGAAAGTTGAAAACCAGGAAAGTCATGGCTTAGGTTCCTTCTGCTTTGTATTCTGGGACACCATTCAGGCAGTCCCTGGCTGTGACTTTGAGGTTCCTTTATTCTTACACTTTTCTTCCATTTTCAGTCTGTCCTTAGCAAAAGTGAGGCAAACCTCTGAGCTGACATGGAATCCTGGAACAGGAGCTGAGCAAAGACAGATTCCTGAAAGCATTGCCCAACAGTCTCGGGGGCTGAAGGAGTCCCCCAAGACCACAGCAATATGTCTGTAAGGCTCTAGCAAGGAAAAGACTCTCTTTTGCCAGCACTGGCACTTGTCCTGCCACTGTAGACAGCTCTGCCCTACTGGGAGAGGTCCTGGGTTTCCTAAATACAGCACACTCCTTCTTCTCTTCCTCCCTGCAATGGGCTTGCTTCCCCTGGGCAGACCTGCTGTGAGCTCAAGACAATGAGGTCTTTTCATTGTCTACTCTAGGTAGCAGGCGGCTGCTAAAATTAACTGACAGAAAAACAATTGCAATAGGAATTGTTTTTCTATTCAGTTCTCATCCCAGTATTTTAGGGTTTGGATTTGTTTTCCTTTGATTTTGTTTTGGTTTGGCTTTTTATTAAGCCTTCCCTAATTATTCAAGAACAGAGAAGTCCTGGGCTTGAGAAGAAGACCAGAAAGTGCTGAGGCTGTCTTAAAAGCCCCATCTTGCCTGCCCATTCTATATCTATATCTATATCCTGCTTACTATCGTTGGCAAACCCACAGCCCATTGCTTACTCTTGGCCTGGCAACCTCCATCACTGCCTCAACCTATAAGGCTACTTTTCTTCCCTTCTTCTCAGGCTGAACCACCCCCTCTTAAGAGCCAGACAAGGACTTTCTCCTTCCCTGGATGCCACCATCCCCACAACCTCTATCTTCTCTGGTCCACAGAGCCTGCCCCTCTCACTGTGCCCCTCAGCTGGATTTTGCCTTTGGATGGCCCTGTGGCTCTGAGTCAGTCTGTCTGCTGAACAACACATGACCTCTCTACAGATAGAAGGGGAGACTCTGCACCCCCTGTCTTCCCTCCCACCCCTCTGCAGTCTAGGCAGGGCATTCACTCCACAGAGGTGTTTAATTTAGAGGTCAGAATTCTTCATGGGGAGTCTAGTATAGATGGCAGCTGTGTTTTTAGATTGGGCTCTTCATAACCTTGGAGAATTCACCACTTATTTCCCTCCTAGCCTAGGTTCAGGTCCTTAGCCAGCTCTGAATTCCTAGCACCATCTGCATCCTGCCTTACAATAGCCCTACTGTCCCCAAAGCTACTACCCATCTTACAGATCAGCACACCCAACTTTGGAATGTTTTATGTTTTCTTTCTGTTTTCTATTTTCTCCTATGTGAGGTTCCTCAGGCCTGGAAAACATTTACCCATCTGTTGCTGTTGCTGTTCTGAGGCTTCTCACTTGTGAGAAGTGATTTTGGTCTAACTAGACAGTGCATTCACTGCAGGCCTTTCTCCACTTCTTCCAGTGGAAATGAGAAGGGTTGAATGAAGGCAAGAACCACAGAGTGGTGATACCTCCAAGCTAAGCAGCATGGACTGGAGGGACTGGGGGGTTGCATGTGTCCTCCACTTCCTGTTCCCCTCCACAACCCTGAACTCCTTTCCAGAGAGTCAAGTACAGATGAATGGATACAGTGTTGATTCCCTGCCTTAGATAGTCATTGGTTCTACAATCTTCACCCTGAGCCCCTTTAGCTCATCACTGTGAAAGTGTTTGCAAAGGAGAAGAAGAGACCAGATCGCTAGATGCCTACTCGCCAGGAGTTCACCATCTAGATGGAAAGAGATGATCTACAGCCAGGAAAGCCAGAGCAGGTCTGAGGGTATGGCACCTCACTAGGGCTGCACTGGTGTCAGACAGAATGATGGGTGGCTCACCTAAAGGGAAACTGAGCACAAATAGGGCTCCCTCCCTCCTGGAAGGAAGACAGCAAGGGCAAAGGAAGTGAGGAATCAAAAGGCAGTGGTAAGGCCTGAGTTCCTAACCTGCCTGACCCAGTACCCTATGGAGCTTTCTGACACCCCCAGAAATGAATCAGCAACAAAATGCAAGCCCCAAACCCAGGAAGAAAATGAGAAGCAATTGTTCCCAGCTCCCACTCTCACTTGCCAGCCTTCTCCCTCTCTCTCAGTGGATGGAATAATTGTGCCCATGAAGTGGTACTTGGAGAAAAAGTTTTAAATCTACCTAAATGTCACTGTGAGTAATACTTTGCCCCATCTTTCCCTAATTAAATTTCTCTTTGATGATCTAAGGTTAAAAAAAAATTTAACTCAAGTCTTCCTAGAATATCAAGGGCAAGGATACTGAAGAACCAACCTAACTATGTTCCTTACTATTTTCTCTGGGGTCCTGCTCCTTTATTACGTTCATGTAAGACACCTGTCTGTGTTATTTTATCCCTGACATCCTGCTGCACTGGAGAGATGGAAGCTTAAGAGATGCAGCTCTGTGCCTTTAAGAGATCAATGCCTAGGCAGAAGCTGCCTCTGCTGCTGTTTACACAGGTAGCTCAGTTATCACAGGACTGGTGTCCTGGCTGCTTCTACCTCAACAAGCTGAGAAGAGGTGTACAGTTCATCATATACCTGCCAAAAAGCTGAGAGGTGAGGGCTGTGCTACACCCTAAGGGGAGATGGCCCAAATCCAAAATTAATCATCATCAGGTGGGCTATCAGGGAGGAGGGGGAGCTTGTCCGAGGAAGAAGGAGCTCTCCTTGGCCTAGGTTTCACATATGGAGGGAAACAGCACAGAGGAGCAGTTCTAGAGGAAGTTAGCACAATGCAGCATGGGCATCTGAAATAATCAGGTGCCCCTTTTCATTAGCAACCTCACTCCCTATTCACACCTGCCCAGGGACAGCTTTCATTTATATATTGGTTATTATTAGTAATAATAATTATGAATAATTTAAAAATTGTGAATAATTTACTTGGACTTTGGGGGTTGACTGGGGTGCTGCAGGAAAAGAGAATGAAGCCCAGCAGCCATCTCTGGAGCTGCTCTGATTTTCCATTGTTTTGGCTTTGCTTTGAGGGGGTGGAAGGAGAGATCTCAAGTAGGAACTACTCTCCTTAACTCCCCTTGTGAGGGCAGAAAGTATATGCCATTCTGCTGTGAGATCCTGGGAGCCAACCACCCTCTCTGCAAGATGATGTTGGAGGAAATATTTTGGATAATTAGCTTCTGCTGATATGCCTGGGGCGGGGGTAGGGGCGGGAATTGGATGTGAGGGTTCAGCCTAGTAGGTACACATCACACGCGCACACGAGTGCACACACACACACACACACACAGAGGAAGGAGAGAGAGAGAGAGAGAGAGAGAGAGAGAGAGAGAGAGAGAGAGATATGAATACAAACAGGGTCTGTGCACATGTCCAGGCTGCATCCACACAAACACACACAGTTAGGTCGGGACAAGACAAGCACACACTTCCTGCCAAACACACAACCCCTTCAGGTGCTTCCCAGGACAAGCCCGCTTTATTACAGCACCTCACAGGCACACTAAGCACAGAGCCATGAAGACAGGCTGTAATACAGCTTCTGTTCCATTTCATCAACTTGAGCAATTTCTACATCAACATAAAATACTGGATAAGGTAAGCCCAGGAAACCTAGTTAAAATCGACTCTACTTACAATTCCATCAAGCAAAAGCAGAAGAATCTAAAACGAAAGGAAGACGTTCCACAGTTCTTAGAACCTTACTTGCGATTTGATTTGGGCTCTCATCCTTCGAGGGAAGCTGGGGGTCTGAGCTGAACCTTGAACCCCAGGGCTGGGAACCTCAGAGCCTCGGGCCTCCTCTGGCGCTGGAGAGTACCGCGTTGTGGTTGTACCACGCCGGCTTGGCCTGGATATACAGGCTGCTGGGGTCTCGTTTCTTTAAATAAATGTTTAAAAATATCGTGTAGTAACGTGATGTAATTCGAGGGTAAGAGTAGAGAAACCCTGAGCACCCGATGCCTAAGCCGGGACCTTCCGGGGTTAGACCAGCAGCTAGCCCCGCCGTCCCAGCTCCAGCCTTGCGGGCAGGCAGCGAATAATTTTAACTGGCCCGACTTCTGAAGCTGGGAAAAGCTGTCCTGGAAAGGCAAATGCGGGAGAGGATGGGATGCAGGTAAATACCATTAAAATGAAAATCTGTTGCCCCAGACAAGTTCACCACCAGTAGTCGCCCCCAGAGGCGGGGCTGCTCCAATCGGCTCCCACGCGTGCCACTCCCTCTCGAGCGCAGCGGAGGTCCCAGCCCAGGCGGCCCGCAAGGGAGTCCTGCGGGGCACTCGCCCGGCGGCTGCACCTTTGGCTTCGGCCAGCAGACGCAACTCCCACCTCGCACCTCTGGATCTGGGGTGCAGCAAAGGAAACCCGCGGGCGCAGCGCACGCAGTGCAAAGTCTGGGTCCGCTACAGCCCGGAGAGCGATTCGGGGGCTTTATTTCTTTGATGGTGAATTGAAGAAAAAAAAATCCCCAATTCTAACCAGTAAAGGAAATGAGGGGAGAAAAATCAAGCCAGTGTCCCGGCGCTGGCTCACCGAACTCGGAGCCCAGCGCTTTTCTCACTCCTCGGCGGGCCGGACGCAGGCTTCCACCTTCCTCTCTCCAGCCGCTGGCCGACCGGCCGCCGCTCTCCAGGACTGGGGAAGCGGTCCGGGACCGAAACATCCACCTCCCGCCTTCGGAAGAGCACTGGGACAGAGAACGGACCCCAAATCTCTATCCTCAGTCCCTCTAGTACAACGCAACTGCTCCCCAGCCCTGTCTTCCCAGGTGGCTCGGTTGGCGGTAGATGTCCGGTGAGAGGGAGATTTGGGGGTGCTCTTGCAGGTTGGGGAAGCGAGAAGGTAAAAAGCAGACACAGAGAGAAACCGGGAGAGCGCGCGCGGGCGAGGGAGCTCTTGTCTATAGATGTATCCACATAATATATATTTATGTAGCTTTTTTTTCCCTCTCGACACTGATCAATGCGCACTCTGATCGCTGGGCCGACTCCCTCCAAGCCTGCCCGCCTTTTCTAGTCTAAATAAATAAATAAATGGAGCCAGATGGGAGAGAAAAGCGCCCATTCCACCTCCGCCGCCGCCGCCTTCGCCGCCGCCCCGCCCGCCGTGCCTGCCTTCGCTTCGCCCGCCTGTCGCCCCAATAGAGTGAGCTCGGTGGATAACACACACACACACCCGCACACCGCACGAAAACGAAAATCAATGTTTTTAAAATACAAAAAGTTGCACCTGCTGCTATTACAAAAAGAACCCCCAAAGGGCAACGAGAGGAGGCCGACTGCTCGGTTCCTAACGGGTACCCTCTGCCCACGGCCGCCCGGCCCGGAATCTCAGCGCCTCCCGAAGAGCCATGCGCCTGGCGCTATTTATAGCCGGGGGCCGTCTCGGACCGTACCACCGCCGCTCCGCGGGGCCGCCGACGGGGGGAGGCGCGGTGGGGCCGGCGCCGCCCCACGCCGCCCTGCCCCCGGCCGCCGCCCGCCGCGGTGCGGGCTCCCCCCCGCAGCGCGCCCACTCCCGGCTCCGGCGCTCCCCGCTCCGCGCGCGCGCGCGCTCTCGCCGCTCCCACCCCTGGTCTGGCTGGGAACTTGAACCGGTCCAGCCTGTTTAAACGGAAAGGACAGAGATCCTGTCTGTTCAGTGTAAAAAAAAAAAAAAAAAAAAAAATCAGATCAGACCGAGAGAGAGAGAGAGAGAGAGAGAGAGAGAGAGAGAGAGAAGGAGGGAGGGAGAGAGAAGGAGGGGAGAGGAGAGAGAGCGCGAGCTAGCGAAGAGAGGAGAGAGAGAGAGAGAGAGAGAGAGAGAGAGAGAGAGAGAGAGAGAGAGAAGCGAGGTGTAGAGAAACCGAGGGGGAGAGAACCCGAGTGTGTGTATGCGTGTGCGTGTGTGAGCGCGAGCGAGCGAGTGAGGGAGAGGAGCGAGAGAGTGCGAGCGAGAAAGAATAAAAGGAAAGAAGATTTTCTCTATGTATATAAAGATGGCCACGTTAGCAAACGGACAGGCTGACAACGCGAGCCTCAGTACCAACGGGCTCGGCGGCAGCCCGGGCAGCGCCGGGCACATGAACGGATTAAGCCACAGCCCGGGGAACCCGTCGACCATTCCCATGAAGGACCACGATGCCATCAAGCTGTTTATTGGGCAGATCCCCCGAAACCTGGATGAGAAGGACCTCAAGCCCCTCTTCGAGGAGTTCGGCAAGATCTACGAGCTCACGGTTCTGAAGGACAGGTTCACAGGCATGCACAAAGGTGAGTGCACCTTTCCCTCCCAACTTTGCCGGGGAGAAGGAGCGGGCGGGCCGCCGAGCGGCGGGCCGGCAACTGGCGAGCGAGCGGGAGACGGGGCGAGAGGGAGCCGCGGGCAGGCGCCGAGGAGGAGGCGCTCGGGCAGAGGAGACCAGCGCTGGGGTGCGTGGGGAGCTGCTCGCTGGGGCAACGCTGGGTTCGGTCGAGGAGCTGATAGGAGCGGTGCCTTGGATAGAGCAGCGGGCGCAGAAGATGAAGAGAAAGAAAGAGAGAATGGAGGGGGGGAAATAGGGCTCGTGTTTTTGGGTACAGCGACTTGGAAGATTGGGATAGGGACAGATGCACCGGGCAGGCGAGCCCAACAAGCAGAGCGGACTGGCAGGCGCTCGGCGGGCCAGGGACCCAGGGAGCTGTCCATCGCAGTGGTGCTGAAAATACTACAGGAGATGGTCTCTTCATCCTCCGCTGGGGCCAGAGTAGCAGGAGAGCTCAGCCGTCTAAAAGGGGAAAGAGGTGACAAATTCAAAGAGATATTTTTATTTTGCTATCAATTTAACAGTAAACTCTCCTTGTTGAGCTATGAGCCTCAATAATCTGGTTGTGGTGTGAGTGACAGTGTGGGGAGTGGGGGGAAGGGGGTGGTTCGGATGTTTGAAGGAAGGAGTGATAAAACCCAAGGCAAGAATTAGCAGGGAGCCAGCCATCCCCTGGGTGGAGTGGGGGTCTGAGGAACCTGGGAGTCCCTTTCCCGGGAAAACTGGGCTTTGGGGAGAAACATATGTGTGCAAGACAAGCATTTTTAAGAGTGTACCCTAATTTCTCCCAAACTCACCATACAGAGAGCCTTATATAGTAGATCATTTCTCCCTTGAAGCAATCATCACCACTGAGTGTTTGGGGGAGGGGGGAGAGAATAATCAAACAATTAAAACCCAATAACTTTTAAGAAAGTGGTCATAGGAATTGTCTGTAGCCTGCCTGTTTTCTCCTTGTTTTATTATCTTTGAGGCAGAGCCCCAAACGTGTTCAGTTGTAGAATGTGTGTGGGTGGCTGGTAGGTGACGAAATTAGCCCAGTGCTCCGCTCTCTAACCGTAATGTATAGGATGTGCAGCGGGGATTAATCGGTGCTGGAGCTGTGTGGGCAAGTTAAATGCTTTCTGAGAGAGATTGATCGCCAAGCAGGGAAGGAGCATGGGGATAAGGAAGTTGTAGGGGATGTGTATGGATGTTCCTTTTTTAATAAACAGTAGTGTGGGGAGCCGCTGAAGAGGTTGTGTTAGAGCTGGTGGTTTTAAAGATGAAAACACACATATGTACACTCACCCCCGTATAAAGAGAACAGCCCCATTCTTGCCCACAAATGGGCTAGGAACAGAGCTGATCCTCCAGCACATTAGGTGCAGAGTGCAGAGCTGTCTGTCTCTCTGAGCAGCAGTGGTTTTCACTACCACAACCACCGTCCTTCTCCAGCCCTCCCTTCATCCAAATACTAAACAGAGCTCCAAACTCTTCATAGTTGGAGTCCCAGAGAGCAGTTTTTATTGGCTTTAACATCTTCCAGCTTGCCTGCTGAGGAGTAAATCTTAAAGTTAATGGCATGTTGAGTAGCACAAAAACATAGCAGAATGGAAATATACTGGGTTTGTTGGGGTGGGGTAAGGGTGGGGGCTGTAAAGGAGAGAGAAACCAATCTTTATCCAATATGGAGAAAATGTCTATCTGTTAGAAAAGAGATTGAAAAGGTGGTGTGGGGAAGCAGTCTTTGAAATAATATTTGAAAGGAAGAAACACTCTCTTTCCCCCTCCCTCTCAACCATATCTTTGTAGATTTTCTCTTTCCAATCAAGCTTCCTAGAAGCTAATCAAGACTTATATCAAATTTTGTCATTTTAATAGGTCCCTGGTTTTAAAAATAGTAATAATAAAATTTTAATAGCATAGGTAGAGATGGTTTTGCCTACCTATGATCAGTTTTTGTGGTAATTTAAGATTTCAAAGTTTAAAAAATCAAAACCCCCTAGAAGCAAAAGATAGCTATGGGGGAGCTGGGCATCCTATGAGATCTGGATTAGAGCACTTTATTTACTTATTTCAAATGAAGATAAACTTTAGCAATATTCCTTGGTTTCTTCTCAACAATTCCTTGCTGGTATCATCACTTTGTTTCTAATGTAATTTGGTCTCTCTTATATTATAAGAAGCAGGATTTTTACCATTTGTATCAGGGAAAGAGAAGGAATATATACCTATGCATATGCAGAATTCCTAGGAAAGAAAAACTTCATTTTCCAAATAATTCTTCTTCCAAACTGTCTCAGTCAGTGACAGGCAGGGCCCATTGGCTCCAGCATCCTGGGTGCTCATTGTCATAGCTCACCCTTCAGAGCCTGAGCATACATTTTTCCTTAAAACTTCCTGCCTCTCCATCCTTCTGATTTTTAGAGTCGAGGTTGACCACAATGTCTCTAGCCATGCCTGGAAGCTCCCGGAGAGCTGAATAAATGAGACCATTTCCAAGAGCTGGTTTATTCAGTCCTAGTGGAGTTTGAACTCCTCCTCCAATGATGCAGCCTGATTTATTAGCTAATCCTGATAAAAATAAGCCTCTGGCCACCTTTAAAAAATTACTTGCTTGCCATTAGTGATTAACTATTGTTAAGTCAAAAAAGCATGATGAGGCTTGAAGAATGAGGGAGGGTTGCATTTGGCTTCTGGATTTTCCCCATCTCTAAATTGACAGCGTGAGGCTAAGGATAGAATTATGCCTTTGTTAAGCCTGGTTTCAGGGCATACCCATGGTTCTTGCTCTCCCCTTTCTGAATTTACAACTTCTAATGATAATCCTGGGATAAAATTGAGACACATAAGAGAATATTGGCCCTCCAGCATGGATAGCATGTGTATGTTATTGGTTTTTAAAAACAGTAAAAAAAAATAAATGAAATACATGAGATTTCAGATGGATTTCCATTTGCTGGCCACCTGCCATTTCAGGTAACTAAAGAAGGAAGGAGTTCTAAGGGTTAATGGAATACCTGCCATGCGTAGAGTGCACCTTAAAAGGCAATTACTCCAGTCAAATTGGGAGTCTGTGGAGGAGGGAGTGGGTGGGTTTTGTGGGGCAAACTCAGCCAGATCCAAGAAGGATTGTTGGGCTGGGAAGCAGCAAATAGCAGCAGTGGACTGGGGTAATTACTGTAAGGTAAATTTACCCCCCAAGACACCAGCAAGCAATTGGAGGGAGGGGGTGTAGGTGTTAGGCAGATGGAGAAAAGAAGGGAGAAAAAAAAACAAATCAAAATTCTAAGAAACAACACCCAAGGAATAAACCTCAGTGTAATACAAACTCTCTGGTTAACTCAGAGTCTTTTTTTCTTCCCTTCTCCCCCCATTCAAAGCACTTTTGGAAAGATTGTTTTTCCAGGCTCCAAAGAGAATGACATTGTGTTATTGATTAAAGAAGAGAGATGTGAATTCCCGGGATAGCAGCAGAAATGAGCTAAGCACCAATTTTGCCCCTTTTTGTAGAATTTTTCTTCCTTGGAGAAGGGACCAGGTCACACACTAGTCTACTGCCTCTCTTCTCTCATTTTATAGTTATTTGTATTTTGTTTTTTTAATTCTTGGAGGACAAACAGAGTTAGTGACTGAAGACACACATTCACACATGTTCTCATCCCTGCACATGCACACACACACACACACACGGAGACACACACAGAGTGGATCATGAATAAGCCAGCAATCCATTCATAACTTTGGTCCTGTCTAGCAGGATAGGAGGCAGCAAAGACTGAGTTAGTGGGAGACATAAAGACTAGTGCTCTCTGGATAGCCATATTATAATGCATTATCTTTGAAGTCATTTAAGTCCAATTTAAGTGGTATTTAGTATAATATTTATGAATTAATGTAATCTAAACATAAGGCTGTCCCCAAAGGTTTAAACAGCCTTTACTACTGATGTGTGCTTGTTCCCGGAGCCTGCGATGCATTTTAATCTAAACAGCCAAGTCCCCATCATAGTCCCTCTTGTTATCCAGTCAGAACAGATCTGTGCCTGGATAACTACTCTGCTTTGAGATTTTCCCCACTGCATGGAAGAAAATTTATTCTACTGACAGGCTGGGGGGCTTCAACTCAGAAGCCACAGCTACAGGAAAGCCAGCCCCTCATACTTTCACACTACATCCAGAAGGAGGGTGGGGACAGAGTAATGAAACCTTCTGTGATTTAGCTCCAGAGACTGTATCATTTTAAAATATACTCACCATCAGCTGCACAACCTCCCATTTCAACTGTACCTGAATAGGAAATGCCTAAAACCTCTTGATTTGGGGTGGAACTGGAAGAAAAAGTGACAGGGATTATTACCACATTTGTTGATTTGTGGCCATCCTCATAGAATTATGTGTTATGTTTGCATTTAAGATCCAACAATTTTCAGAACGTTGAATTTCCACCTTATGACTTAGCCGAGATGGCTCATTTTTCCCCTCTGTGGATAGGTGAATTAAAACTGAGACTCTATCTGATTTCTGTTTTCAAATGAGTGTAAGAGAGTGAAGGTGAAGTATCAGCATGGGCATCAGCTCAATTAAGATGAACTCTTGTTAATTACTTTGAAAAATAAAAAGTCAGTTCTGTCTAGGGAAAGAGACTACCGAATGACTGGTTACACACCTATAGTTTTTAAAAAGAAAGACTTACTTTTTCAGAGATAGGGGAAATAGAATAGCCAGAATAAGAAAACAAGAAAAACACTTTCAAAAATAAGTTTCACCAAAAAAAAAATGAGCACCAGCATTCATTATAGTACTAAAATATATCAAAACAATAGCCACTATTATAAAACCTCCAAATTCCAAGTGATGATGTGTCCTATTTAAAAGGTTGGGGGAAAAGAGTATTGAAAAATGATTCATTTATTTTAGAAACCGGTGGTTATTCACTACTTGTGCACAATTTTATTTACCTTTAAAACAAAGTTTCTCAGAATCA